ATGGCAAGTCACCAGCTTCCCAATATATTTATATACAGTAATTGTAATTAATTGATGCAAGATCTACATGTTTGCTAAAGCCTCTGAGAACTCAGGTAGCTGAAGCGACCTTTCGCGTTTTCTCGATGGCTGCAACATGCTGCAACTCTTCCACCTACTAAGTGGACTAGCCTTGAACACCAAACCCTACCACAGCATTTCTACCTCCGCACCCTGCAGGTCTCCTGTTGGGTCGTCTTCTGCCTTTCCCCGTTTCAAGGCACCCCATGACGATGGGAAGGCCAAACCACTTACCTCGTGTTTGCTCACACCGAAAGCATGACCTCCGCAAAGACATCCGGCTCAAGTTTCGGTTGATTTCCCCGGCTCTGTCTTGCAAGAAATCCTTCTAGCAAAGTTTCGTTGTTGAAAAGTGAAGGCATTTTCTCCCCAACAGTCATGGCCTTTGTGGATGCTGTGTGCATGATGTGTATTCTGTGGCCTTTCCAAACTGCCAAACGGCCCGCGTCTTTTCCAGGCCTAGGCTCCTCCTCTTGTGGGGCGTTTTCTTCCTCCGATGGGCCATCTTGTTCTTCCTTCGGCCGCGTCTAGACACGTCGTGAGCAGAAGACGGATGAGCCGCAACCCAAAGCCTCCAAGAAGGCACGAGAATCTTTAGTCTTCATCTGTACGGTAACAGTGATCGTGTTTTGTGTGTTGAATTATTTCCTCGTTCTCTCAACTGTGTCATGGAGTCAGGGCCGTAATTTTGCAGGCTTCTCCTCAACCCTCTTTGCACGAACGAGTCAATGGCAACACATCTGATGTCTTTTCCGCTGATTGAAGTCTATTGATCGACCTCCAAACCATCAACGCTTCCCCCTGAAACAGCACCACCCAGCTACCACATGTCCCACCACCATGTCACGGCGCGTTTTGGCATGCCGAACATCGCACCTGCTCCTGCTTGAACTTCTGTTCCCAGGCCTTCGATTCGTCTCGATGTGACTGCTCCTAGCGAGCGCTCTGTCGCTTCCGAATCGGTCTGTGGATGGGTTGCATCACCATGCATCACGGGGGAAATTCCCACAGGTCTGCCAACATCTATGGCGGGTCTTCCGCCTTTTTTCGCCACTGCCTTGGTGGGCCATCGCTAATAATGCCATCGCTAATTAGGTTTCTTCCTTCAGAACATCGACACATCGACCTTCCCGATCGTTCCCCGTTTTTCGGGTCGCTGGAATGAAGGTGGTTGCAACTGGATCCGTTTTTGCAGGTGTTCCATCCAATCTCATGGGGTGTGGATCTTTCTAGATTACAGTAAAAACATTTAAACACACACACATGGTTATCTGCAGCTTCCATGCTTGTGAAAATGGGAGGGAAAATGGGAGGATGACATGGACAAAAAAACATGTCCACTTCTGTGGGTTTCTTCTTTCTTTGTGATGTTGACAACAATCATGGTCGGAGTACAAATGGCAGAATCTTGGACTATATAAACGGCAGAATGATAGTACAAACAACAAAATTCCAAACATTGACTCACTGACCAATCCATTGTCTGATTTGCCATGTGACATGCTCCACCTGATGGATGGCCAGCTCTGCACCACTGCCTGTCCAGAGAGGGGACGGAACCTGGGCCTCCCGACCACCACCTGCGGCATTGTCTCTTGGAAGAGCCTCAGTCGTGTGAAAATGATGGGGTCGTCTGCAGGAACCCAAAGAACCCGTCATATCCCCAATCGAAGTCCAAGGACATGCTCTGCCTGTATTGAAGAAAGGAACCGTCTTGGACCCTGAATGAAGCCATGCCTCTTGTAAAGAGTTGGCACTGGCAGCTCCCAAGAGTCACTCTTCGCTGGAACCAAATCGTCGCATCACCAGCTCCATCGATCTAGTTCTGAGTGAACTTGCGAGGTCTGATCAAGGTCCAGTGACTCTGGTGTCCATCTGGTGGCATGAATTGGGCGCAAAGGAAAGCCACTCATGACCAAGATTGGAAGAAGCCAACGACCACTTGCCGCGTCTTCTTCTCGATGCTGAATGGAGATTTGGCCCATACTGTATTGGTTCATTCAGCCATGAACCCTCCCTCTCCGGTTGATTCCCTAGATCCATCCAGATCCCCCAGGCTATCACTTGGAATCAACCCCCACACCTAGGAGTCGAGGTGGTTCTGACAAGTCTACCTGTCATTGGACCCTTGAAAAAGTGCGACTCTGGGCTTCATGGCCCCCCATCTTCACCAGTTCCACCATCTTCACCAGGCACCCTTTTCATCAGCTCGGTCCAGCTGCTAAGCTGGTCATACGTCCGACACACGGTCGCAGCAGTCGCAGCTGGTCGCACGGCGAGCGGGGGATCTCTGGCGGGTCAGGTGAAGTGGAAGGCCAAGGAGATCGAGATGGAAAGACTCTTCCTCAGCTGATCAAAAGAAGTACAGGTGAAGAACAACAAAGCAACACACCAACATGGGTCCTCAATTCCATCTGAATTTCACTTCAAGGAGCGCTTAAGTTTTGTGGCAATTGGTGGCAAACTTCCTTTAGAGAAAAGGATACACTTCGCTGGTCATGGGGCACGGGGGGGTCCTCGGCTTTACACTCTGAGTCCCACGTGTTGGTTGACCCCTAAAGTCAGGAAGAGAGGAGTGCAATCTGGGGAGTGATACATAGCGCCATGGCTCGAGAATATGCAAGTACAACTGCCAAAAAAAGGTATATCCAAATCATACCAAGTCATTAGAACATTGAGATGCTAGAACCTTTCTTCACTTTTGTTTAAATGCAAGCCACCCCGAAACAAGTCCCTTCAGCTACAATCAACAAGAGCTCACCGAAAAGATTTGAATACCATATATATATGACATATGATATTATATTATCATACATTATCTACATATATGCATTGAGATGAAAACACATGATGTCAATCTGGAACTCTTGTGAAGCTTCACAGCTTCGAGCGAGCACACTTCCCAAACTTAACAGTTCTTCTTTGTTTCCTGACTCTGACAGGTTAAGCTTCACAAAATGCCACCAGCCGATGGGAAGGTAGAGAACATCCCCAGGCTGAAGGACCTTGATCGAGTCATCGAGTCGCGCGTGGCACACAGTGGGTTCAGCAATTAAGAAGACGTGTGAAAAGCATGAGGTGGTTGGTCTGACTGGGGATTCAGGGTGAGGCTTGCATACAACTAGTAAAAGCTATATAGCTACTCGACACCATTCATGTTGCTGACGAGTCATTCGCCTGGGCAATCAAACATCCAGGCAATTGAATTGGGGATGACAGTCCGCACCATCGTGGATGACAGTCCGTCACAGAGAATCGAAAGCCGCCCGTTGCCATCGGGTTCCACTGGGGCAAACAATCCACTGGATATACGCACTGATACACACTTCGTTGTATGGAGCGAAAAACACATGGACAACCGGAAAAAGATTTGAACAAGGACAACCGAATCTGAAGACCCCCAACAACTTTCAATTTCAAGAATTCACGGTTGCTTCCCCTAAGGCCCTATGGGCCCGATCTTATCGCCAAGTTCACTTGGTCGGCCGCTGTCGCCAAGTTGGACAAGCAAACACTTCGGGGTGAAGAAGTCTTCACCACTGCGAGGTGGTGATAACCTGTTGTTCTCAATTCCGTGCTTCAATCTACTGTTTCCAGAATTTTAGTGGGTAAAACATTGAATCATGTGTTACTACTGTGACTGCAACGAGACAGCACTCAACTCGCTTACTTGATCTTCCTGGCTAAAGCCGACATGCACTCGAACTCTCCAGCTTACCGTCCGCCTACAACGTTCCAAAAGGGTTTTCTCGTCAAATACGGTCCTCCAACACAAAGAGCTTTTACCATACCCCCCGGTGTGCCCATTGTCCTAACAAATGAGTGTGGAATCCTGGAACTGTGACCTAAAAGCACAATAACTAAGTACAACATTGTATATACAACCATAGGCAAATGATGACATGTTCCATGCTCTATATCTACTTTCCGAATTATGTTTAGGAGTACACCCTGACACCACAAACTGTAATCTCTGGTTGGTGAGTCGCTCCCCTGGCCGAGGGGCGACGTCCCAGTACTGTGCGGTCTGGAGCTCTGGGAACCTCTGCGTCGAAAAAGCATTGGAAATGGCTAGACCAGCTCATGGTAAAGGGTGAATCAGAATCTGTTCTGATTTGAGATGCTCGTAGGTTGGAGGCCATCGCTTTTAGATTTGGAGGCCATCGGACCCGGCCCGGTCCGGCGTTTTCAGGAGAGTCCTCTTTTCCCGGTCTGGCAGCTTCCATGTTATTGCTGTTGGCCACAAGTGTTAGTGCCACTCAATCAAGCACATTGCAGTCGCCAAGTTTTGGCTTCTGAAATCTCTTGAATCTGCCTCGTAAAGAACCAACACCATTCCAATGCCTTTACCATCTTTACCATGGTTGACCAAGCAAGTCCTACACTGTCACAGCCTGGCATGCAGCAAAGCCTGTCAATTCCTACTGCATTCTGGATTCTGCAGAGTTTGGGCGTCAGCGAGAACCAGGGATTCCAAAGAGGTGCCCAGTTGTTGTAAGCCAAAATGTGCAAGAGAGTAGCCTCGGAAGATGAATCAAGGGATCATTGTCAACGTCATTCAGCTGCCATTGTTTTGGCCGAAGCACTTCTCGGCATAGGCACTGCCGCCCTCCCTCTCGCCCAACAACCTGACCGGTGCCGTCGTCCACGGGAGAAGTCGGCGTGGGTTTTTGGGCACATCACTGAGGTATTCCCGAACTTCAAGCACATTACCCCACTGAAAACTCACATAGACCCTGCCACTGGTTTGTAGAGGAAAACAGTCGGACTGAGGGTGCCATTCGACCAGAGTCCACGTGAGTTTTCGGGAGTGCATTATATAAATTATTGTTTGTTTTTTCCGCCGAGAGATTTGCCTTGCTTTCTGGTCTCCAAACTCGTGAGGAACAAAGACATAGAGTACATAGTACGTACACTGTCACAGCCTGGCACGAGCAAGTCCTACACTGTCACAGGTGGTTGACCCAAACACATTCCTTCAGCCAAATTCTTTTGGGAGAATCCAAAACAGTCCTGCAGCCATCCGTGCGGCTGCCGCTTTCCCGGCGGAAACCGTCCGACCCAGGTCGACGAGGTCAGGGGGCAAGTCCGCTGGCTCGATCTGAGAGTTGTTTTGCATCTCCTGGAAGAGGCTGGAGAGGGGAACCAGGAAACCTGGGGAACCCAGAGTTTTTGTTGACAAGTCAGTCACTTGGTCGCAGAAGCCAGGTCAGGTGGCTGACCTGGTAGCCAAAACCTCTGAAACAACCCCATTTGCTTCCCACAAAACCAACATCATGAGCATTGCACCAAGTGTACCAACACACGTTCATCTTCCGAAACGAGCTGCAGAAACCGTACCACTTGGACCCCAAACATCGCAACTCGGCAGACTTTAGATGGAAGCATCACTCAGCTTTTGAATGGCTGATGGTAACCAGAAGCTACTAGTAGCTCCTGGCACTACTAGCAACAAGAAGGTAAGCTACTAGTCTTCTTGTGGTATTAAACACAACATGTTGGGAAAACTGCCTTCTATAGCTGAACACATCACTCATTCATCGACTCCAAACGCCGCAGGTATCCGTTCCTGGTCACTGGATGTCCGCGGGTAGAGCTTCGGGGCTTCGCTGGGCGGATAGAGGCGCAAGTACTTTTCGCCCACCACCTGATGGCAGTTCCGCCACCAAGGTTCCATGGTAGTAACCATAGAGATCTTTATACAGAGGGAACGAGTGTTCATACGGTTACTAGGAGATTACCAGTGATTGGTAGACTCAAAGTGATAGTCGAGTCAACTAGGTCAAGACCAACTGGGCGAGGGCCGAGGAAGAAGCCTCTTTTGCACCCAGGAAGAATGGTTCAACTAAGTCCAGGGCAAGGACTGGTGGGAAAATAGATTCAACATAGGGGGTTCGGATGGTTTTGGGAGGATGACACCTCCAGGTAAGGCAACTGACAAAATGTTGCTTTCTATGTTGAGAAACGCGTGAGTCCCAAAAATGCCGAGCACGAGCCAGGTACATGTTCTGTGCAGCACGCGTTGACTGCCAGTTCTTCAGCCCCACAACAAAGGCAAACTCACAAGCCAAACTGTGTGATCATTTGGCTGTGGCTCGAAACATAATATAGACTCAGGGACTACAGGTGCAGGCTTTAGACATCTTTAGACTGTATATTCTTTTACTAGTGGGTTCGGATTGGATGGTTCCCTGGTACCCATTTTTGAACCTTGATCATTTTCAGGGATTGCTGGGATGGTGACTTCATGTTGTATGCGGATGGCCCGGTGGACTTGCAGCCGGTTTTGACTAAAGCACCGGCTGGGTCCAAAATGTACAGTATGAATGGATGCAATTTTAAGGGAATTGTTCAACTGCCTCATCGGGAAATGAAGCAAAGGGCCAGGGCATAGCTCAGTCCACAACCACCTTTGAACAGTTGCTTGAGGCCAAGAACACGCTGCTAAGTCCACAGCACTCCGTGACATCCTCCGTCCGTCCCTACCGCCTGGCAGAAGATGTTCTCGTAGGGGTCCCAATGAACAGGCGTCACCGTGCCGTTCGGGCCAAAGAAGACCTCTTCAGGTCGTGACCCGGTCGACGGGTGCCCGACGCCGAAGTCGTCCACGCGACTGGTCGTCGTTCTGTATTTAGACCTCAAAAGCATTGCAACTGATGCAGGAAGTTGACTTGACTACGACTGAAGACGCTCGACTTTCTCGCAGATTTACCCAATCGAAGAGGTCCCCAAGCATTCCGACCTGGCGGAGCACGGTCCCCGTGCTTCCACACAGAGCGAAGTCTGGCGTTTGGACGTCTGCCTGGCCGGGTCCGCGCACGCCGGCCCCGCGCGCCGATGTCTCGGGGGATGTGAAATCACTTCGGAGACCTCAACCGTGCCGTTCACCACGTTTGGGATGGGTGCATGCACAGCACAGTACATGGCTGAACGGGAAAAAACACATATACTGTAGCCATATCGATACCTGGACAAACCCTGGAGATCTGGATGCCTGTGAGATCTGGATCTCCCTACTTCTCATTTACCTCAGGAACTCTCCGTCGACTTGGCACAGACTCCCACCACCAAAACTGCAACGATTTTCCGCGCCGGCTCTGTTCAGAGCCGCGCGTGTTTGGCTCCGCCTCGCTGAAACCGGCGCCTCCAGGCTGGGCAGCTGATCCAGCAAGGCGTGCTGCGCCAAGTAGCCCCCCTTCGACAGCCGTTCCACAGCAGAAGCTTGGCTGGTGCTCCGCTCGGACGCTTCAGCCTCGAGCAGAGGGCGACGATGCAGAAGCTGCAAGGCGACGATGGAGTGAGTGATTTCATGTGGGTGAAGGAATAAAGAGCTCTGACTCTCTGACATCATGTTTTTCAAAAGTATTCACTGGTCTGTTTTCAATGAGAATCAGCTACACTGCAGGCTTTGGCCATGCTTGGCTTAGTTGAAAGCTGTCCAGCCAGGAATTCTGGTCTCGGGAATCTGTCTCCGCGGACTTGCGCCGCTTGCGCCTTGCAGTGCTGGATGAAGTCTTTGAGTTGCATAATCTCGAAGCCCTCCTCCATCCAGTAGTCCCTCCTGGGGAATAAGAGTCGTGACTTTTTCAACCGGTTCACTATGAAACAGTTGGATAAAATAAGGGAACCACAGGAACACCTTAACCACTGAACAGGTTCAAAAGGTAAAGCACTGCCTGGCTGGGGGGGGGTCCTCTCAGCCAGGATGTTGGAAGGAAGCTTGTGGTGGAACTGTGTCACCGGTATTTTGAACTTGTGTATAGTGTATATATATATATATGAAACACATATTACATATAATTATATATATATATGTATCCGATTGTCCTTGTCCAATTGAATGTTGGCAACATGTTGCAACACAGAACATCAGTCGCTTGTGACCAAAAGACCGCCCCGACACCGGAGAACTCACCGGACGGACGGCTACCGGCGTGTCTTCGAACGGCAGATCCACGTGATGGTGGACGACGTGGATCTGAGACGTTTCACCGTTTCTCTCTGTGGGGTCTTGTCCATCAACGATATACTGGGACTGAGTGAATCCTGGCACTCGCTACTGGGATGTACTGGGTACATTGGCCAGTGGAATCAGAAGTGGAGTCATGAACGCTTTTGGACTTTCAATTGCCAGGTTTCATCACGTGGTCTTCCCTACTAGATCCAAGAAATACAAAAAACCTGTCTGACTGACTAACACGGAAGTGGGTCCCATGGCCCTGGGAGAAAGTTGTATGATTTCTTTCACAACCATTCAACCGTTTCCATGTCCTGTCCGAGTCTCAGTAAACAGCTGTTTTCAACTTGTGTCACATGGGTGTGGACATTTGCAACAAAATCATCAGTTGTTGTCATCCATAATCCGAAAGGGGAGGTTCATGTAGGGGAGGCCACCAGGGCTTTCGTGGGTGCCATCATAGCCTCAATGAGCTCTTCCATACGACCAGGGCTCTCCACCGGGACAAAGCGCTGACCTCCAAAGCTCTCCGCGGCACCGCCGCACCGGAGATCGGAGCAAAGCGCAACACCAGCGGCAAAGCACACGGGAGGACCAACGCAGAAAATGGTGGACTCTGCACAGGAATCCTAAATGTCTAAAGAAACTACAGTAATAGCAATGGCCTCCAACATGTTCAAATCAAATCCCTACTAGATGTCTAAAGAAATGACCTCCTTCGACTGGATTTGAAGAATATATAAGAATATCAATCCTGGAGTGCCAAAGAGGTGCTTCTTGGAGGGTGGCCCGTCCCGGAACATCCACTCATTGGGACCTGCTTGGAGTGCTCCTGTTGGACTGCTGCTCTCCAGTGAAAAGGTAGAATAGTTGAATTCATTTGGAGGTTTCTTTGATCCTCTTCGATCAATATATTGTTGATCTCACCTACTGATACTTGGGGGGTTCACTGACCCACTTGAAATGTGTCTGTGTCGTAAGGTTGCAACTCCTTCGCACACAACCAAATGTCTTGGTGCGGGCATTTTTAGTGGGTATAGTTGCCTACTAAATCATACATTGCCTTGATCTCTAGTACTCAGTTGCCTATAGAAATAAGTCAACCAAAGTCATTCCTCCTACGAGATCTGGACGTAGAACAACACAACCTCTGGGAATGTTGATGAATCTTTCCACACAACCTCTTGGATTCCGGGAGAATTGTACATCTGCAAAAACGAACCCACTACAAAGGAATCAGTTCTCCAAGGTCTCCAATTGCCATCAAACACATCAGTGAGCTTAAAGGTATCTGTATTAATATGCGTATCCTATGTATCATTGTACACTGTATACCAACCTTCCATTTGAACCATGATTTCTCACCATGCTGAAACAAGATAGACTTGCCTCATCCACAAAATCAATCAAATCCTAGCAGTGAGGCTGTGGGATGCCCACCATGTTCTATCTTTTGCTCAAGAAAGTTCCAAACATTTCAACACTAGCTGGTTTGCAACCAAAAATTGCAGGGAACACAAGGTTTTGCAGTGTAGGAGTAACAATATCTTGGCAAAATGTTCGCAACGCCCCAAATCAGCCTTCTGGAAAGAAGGGATCCTGAAAAGCTTCATTGGTTGATCTGGAAAGGAATGTATTGCATGTAGAACTACATGTATATAGAATATATGTCCCTCTAATTCAGGGTGATTAGTGGATTCCAGCAAGTCAATTGCAATTCATAGAAACGCTATATAGATCTTTGCAGTAGTCCTCGAGTAGAGAGAAAACATAGAATAAAACCATATCACCCTCCATAACCCCAAAAATGATCAACATCATACCCCATGCCTTGATGCCTTCGTTTCGGCGCTTCCGAGTCGCTTTCGCACCCGCGAGAAGCGCGCGCGAGGCGCCCACGCGCCTAGAGCTCCATGGCACCAGAAGTCTTCCTTGCACCAGCGCCTGTGGAAATCGTTCGCCCACCCACAAGCGAATACGTTGTTTCAAGGTTATCAACCAAGCGTCATCAACCATCTTACCAAACACAGGAAACTTTCAGCAAGCATCTGAATAAAGTGGTTGGTGCAAATTCGATCAGATTGGCGGATCAACTGAGATCAGCATGATCGAGTCACAGGGCAACTGGTATTTTTTTGACTACTTCTCTGGATGTCAAACGAAGCACCAATACCAAACAACCTTCCAAAGGCCCAAGCAACTCTTTCCACAGGATCCTCCGCTCATGGTAGCTCTGGATGTCGGATTCGCATGCACTTGCCAAGTTTCTTGGGGACCTGATCACCTGCACCAAATGGAACCACAAAAAAAAAAAAAACACGCCACCGATCCTGATTGCTGGCCAAAACGAACAGCTTTGCCGCAGCACTACGGGTCGCTTCTTGTTGAAGTAGATCACCAAGAAGTCTTCCTGAAGCGAAAGCAATGGTTGTTCCCTTGCCAAGGCTCAAATGGTAAAGCACGTCCTTCAGCAAAGGATGGATATGTATATATATATAATCTATAGCTTGACGTTGGCGATTGAGAACTCACATTTTGGTTTATTAGATAGATACTTTCCGCCTTTCCGTAATGTGTTCAATCAGTATATACCTGTTTCCTTCGTTACCATCCTTCAGCACCTTGGAACGACTTGCGACTTGTTACCTTTCTGGATACGCTATAATGTCTAGCATTGTTCAATCAAACAAAACTACCGGGTGAATAGTGGCAACGGTGGTAGAAGAGGTCATGGATGTTTTTCAATGTCTTCTCATAATCCAGGATAGACACAGAATCTGCATTGATTGACCCTTCCAACGGCCACAAACCAAGAAAGGCCGTGCGACATTACCAAGTTCCGCTGAGCCGCCATACCCAAGTCCTTCACCTCCTCCACAGGCCGTTTCACCACTAGGCCGCTGGGTTTTCCAAACGGCGCCGGTTCCGCAAGCAACTGACTGCCTGCCAAGCAAACATTGTAGTTCTGCGAGGGATGAAACAAAATCAGTTTTCTGCCAGAAAAAACCCATGGGCAAAGGGAAAACACTCGGACTCATCGTGACAAACAAGGCATGGGTTTTACGTAAGTAGGAGTGTTTAGACAAAATTTCAACCTCTTCGGTTGTTCTGCTTGCAATCAAATCAAGTCCGACTCTCAATGGAGAGTTGATGCATGTTGATGCCATCGCCTTTCATCCAAGTCCAAACGATCCTTTTTGTGACGACTTTGGGGTCTAGTCTGGGCCACCGGTGAACTCAGTCACTGGCCGCTCAAGGGTGGCCCTCCACAAGCGAGGTATGGGTTTGCCCTGAGTAACGAAACCGAGAAAAAAATCACTCATGTCCACCAGGTTCCTCATCCGAAACATCCTCGCTCTCTTCCAAGGCGTGGTTCCCGCAAGTTTGCAGGTGAAGAGTGGAGGCTGCCGGCAGGGCGAATTCACGAGCAGCCATGGAAACACAGGGAAGGATCTGGGTGTTGACTCTTGTTTGCTTTTCATCTGCGACGCGCTGGCTTCAGTCCAATTGCAAGTACAGGCGGCGAACATCAGCTAGCATCTCTCCAGTCACGCACGTTAGCACAATGGCAATTGCTAAAAATTTACGTTTGTACTAGTGCAAAGGCCTCTGAGCTTGCACAAAGCCCATTGCAGCACAGCAAGTCCTTTGCCTCTCCCACACTGATTTGGCTCCTCTGGCTCTCCAGCCACCAGCTGTGAAACCGAGAGATGTTTCCCCTCTTCGGATGTCATGATCAACTTTACTTAGGGTGATCCCCACCCCGAGAGGCGATTTGGAAGAAGGCAGGGCACATGTAATTATTGACCATGCAGAGTGACACAATTTCTGACGCTTGTTCTCACATCAAGTCTTTATTGTGCTCTGACACATCATCTGTCATAAAGGCTGGGAAATTTTCTGGACTGTGTTCTGACGTCCTTGTTGGCGTGTGTTCTGACAATTTTCCTGCCATGTGAAGAGTGAGATGTGCTGCGACATATGGTCCGACTTCGGTCCTGGTATGTGCTCTGTCATGTCTTCTGACATGTCCTGCCATCAAAAAATAGCTATCATATAATAGATATATGTTATTGTCTACCCAGGGTTTCTCTCTCGCATATAATCTGGCTTTCTATCTGGCATGTAATGGCATTCTATCTGACATACATTCTGGCATTCTATCTAGCATATCTTTTGACATTCTTTCTGGCATATTGTCTGCGAGTGAGGTACGGCAGTGCCCACTACGATCAGGAGCTTGCAGTTGAGGTCTGGGAGGAGGAGGAGGAGGAGGAGGAACGACGAGCGGCAGAGTGCTCTTATAAATTCTAACAACCCTCACCCGGCAGGTGAGGAATAACCTTCAAAAACATTCAAACACCAGTGGCTCTCAAGCCACTAAATCCATGGTGGCCGATAGAATTACTGAATGGAATTATATATAGAATTGAGGAGCATTCTGCGCAGGTAGGGAAACGAATCTTAGAGGATCGGGCAACAACTTTCCTGTTTTCTACATACTTTTGGGCGGCAACAAACATTGCTATTTCAATATTGTCCTCACTTTCCTTTGACATGTGTTCTTTTTCTGTGCTTTTGTTTTGTGTCTCGTGTAGTTTTTCCGATAATGTGTTTCCCAGTCAAAGGTACTACAATGTACTACATCTTGATCGAACATCCTTTTTGCTAGCCTTTTGTGAGGTCTGTAAAAACAACTGCCCTTTTCGTTTTGCTTACTTGACTCGTCTTTCTTACGTTCCCTACAAAATGCCCTTTTGTTTGTTATCAACGGAGGGACTCAAGGAAAAGGATATGTAGTGAGACATAGTGAGCAGCTAATGTATATACAATCATAGGGAAATAAAGGACATTTAGAGGCACTCCTGCAGGACTAGGAAATTTTGGCAAAATTAAACTGAGTGTTTGTTCCTCAAACATTCCTCCCCAGATCCTCTGAGAGCCCTGAAATTGTCCTGTTTCATGTCCTTCCCCTTTTCCTTGTAGTTGTCCGTTTCCTCTTCCTTTGAGCAGTGCTTTTGCCATATGATTCTACTCGCTGTCCTATTCCTCCGTTCACTTCCCATCTCCTTTCCGCAACGCCCCCCGCAAACTCACCAGGAAGGTTCCAAGTCCGAATTCACCAATCCTTCGAACGACCTGGGTTCTCTGCAAAGTTCGATCACATCCGGGGAATCGACGCATGCACAAACAGGAATCGTTGATAGAAAATTCCTGTGCAGTTCCATTCCAGGAGTTTTTGCATCCTCAATCCCCCAATCGACGGTTTGCTTCCTTGCTGGAACTATATAGTGATGACTGCAAGGCATCTCCAAGCAACCTTCCTGGAAGCACTGTTCTGTCATATGAACTGGACTGGACACTCCTTGATGGCTGTGCTGAAAGCTTCCTTCATGTTTTGGCTGCGCAACAAGCAAGGAGGGACAAAGTCATGCTCAGCCTCTGCACCAAGTCATGCTCAGCCTCTCCAGCCCTCGGACAACATCTGTCCACACGACCACGCCCCATGAAGCGGAGTTGGAGTGGTCGATTCTTTCGTGGATCGATTCGTCCAAACGATCCAAGGAATAGTAACAAGAAGCTACGAACGGAGCGTCTGGGCATCGCTACTAGTAACAAAGGGCATTACTACTATAGTAGCATTCTTGCGATCCAAGGAACAAGAAGTATCGATCCAAGGGCCTTGAAGTGCGGCCTGCTGTATTGTAGTCAAGGCATGTCCACGTTAAACTTGTCCAGGGAATTCACTGGACTTGTGCTTTCTACTGGGCATCTCAAAAAGGACTAAGTTCATGGAGGTAGAATTACTAGTGGCTGTCAGGAATCCAATCCCCTTCAAGGCCTCCTTCATCCAAACCTCTCTTGCGGGCCAGCTCCTGGTGGCAATAGGCGGGAGTTCTTTCCAGTCAGCGTTGTCTATGCTTCCCCGGTCCTGTCTGATCTGCTCAAACCAAAATGGATAATGTAGACTCTCGATTCATAAACCCTTCCATTTGAATTGGAAGTCCTCTTCACAAGGGGGGTTTATTAATCAAGAGTCTACATTAATGTGTTTGGTCAAGACATATCCCAAAACCTAACAGCTGCAAACTCTGCAAACTCCAAACCATGGCTCACACTGGCTGACAAATATCCACGCGTGCCCCTTTTCCATGCCCCTGCAAAACATGTTGTTGGATACTCAAGGAGGTGGTGAAGCGCTGCGACGGACTGTGAGAAGACTTACATGGCCGGATGCCTGGTTGACTGGTTGACCAGGCAATTTTCGGGGTCGACCTGCATGAAGAGGTCATCGATCTGCAGTGTGTCATGGCCCAACCACCCTTTGGAATCCTTTGGATGATTGGATGAGAGGTAACCCTGGCAATTGTTTGGGATATTCTTGTAAAAACTGACATAGAATCAGACTTGAACCTCCCCCATGCATGAGTTGTCACATCCATGTGCAAGCCCAAGGCCCAAGGCCATTGAGGTGAGTTTTCATCCACATCCGTCGTACTCTCATGCAATTCAAATTGTGAAGCATGGACCCTTGTCGAGTGAATGGAACGAGAGGGAATGCTGTCAAAAAGATACCAACAACAAACATTGCGTACATTCCCCCAATGATCTCCAAATACCTGCTGGGCACAGGGATGTTTAATGTTGGCTCTAAAATTGTTGTGCCCGTGATCCGAAGATTCTCTCCTTGGCCAAGTCCTCCGCCTGGGCGAACAGGGTCTCGGCCACATGGGTCTCCGGGCCGCCAAGGATCAAGCCTGATAGGACCAATACAACGATCCACCACTGGGAAAGGGTGAGTGCCACGTCTGACAGAAGGAAAGATTGACAATCATGAAAGCTGAGCAACCCCCTTGTTGTAGAGGAGAATGATCTTCCACAGCCCGAACTGTTCTACTTCCATGATGGCTTCATGGAGTTAAACATCTTATTCAATTACTGTGGGTTCGGATTTAATTTAGGATTTTTTCTTGTTTTGTTTGGATTTATTGTTTTCTGGTGCTTCGTGGCAGGCGCAGTACTTTGTGGACCTTGAAGTGCAGATTTCGTGGCAGGTGCAGGACTTTGTGGATGTTGAAGTGCAGTTTTTGTGGCAGGTGCAGGACTTTGTGGATGTTGAAGTGCAGATTTCGTGGCAGGCGCAGTACTTTGTGGAGCTTGAAGTGCAGATTTCGTGGCAGGTGCAGGACTTTGTGGATGTTGAAGTGCAGATTTCATGGCAGGTGCAGGACTTTGTGGGCCTTGGAGTGCAGATTTCGTGGCAGGCACAGTACTTTGTGGACCTTGAAGTGCAGATTTTGTCGTAGATAGATAGATAGATAGATAGATAGATGGATAAATAGATAGATAGATAGATAGGTAGATAGGTAGATAGATAGATTAGATTAGATAGATAGATAGATAGATAGATAGATAGATAGATAGATAGATTGGATAGATAGATTGGAAAGATAGATAGATAGGTAGATAGATAGATAGATATATTAGATAGATAGATGAGATATAGATAGATTAGATAGATAGGTTAGATAGTTAGATAGATAGATAGACAGATAGATAGATAGATAGATAGATTAGATAGATTAGATAGATTAGATAGATTAGATAGATAGATTAGATAGATAGATTAGATAGATAGATTAGATAGATAGATTAGATAGGTAGATAAGATAAGATAGATAAGATAAGATAGATAAGATAGATAGATACGATAGATAGATAGATAAGAGATAGAAAGATAAGATAGACAGATAAGATAGATAGATAAGATAGATAGAAAGAAAGAAAGAAAGAAAGACAGAACGATAGATAGATAGATAGATAGGATAGATAGGTTAGATAGGTTAGATAGGATAGATAGATAGATAGATAGATAAATAGATAGAGAGAGAGATAGATAGAGAGAGATAGATAGAGAGAGATAGATAGATAGATAGATAGACATATAGACAGATAGATAGATAGATAGATAGGTAGATAGGTACATAGGAAAGAAATAAAGAAAGAAAAACCAAAAGACATACAGAAACAAAAAAAGAAAAACATACAGAAAGAAAGAAAGACCAAAATAAAGAAATACAAAAATAACGATAGAAAGATAGATAGATAGATAGATAGGTAGATAGGAAATAAATTTTAAAAGAAATAAATAAAGAAATAAATAGAAACAAACATATAGATAGATAGATAGATAGATCGATAGATAGATAGATAGATATAGACAGATAGATATAGACAAATAGATGGATAGGTAGACAGATTTGGGAGCTGTCGTAGCTGGCAAAATACATTGGAATAGTGTAGGATAGTGTAGGTGTCAGAGAAATTGCTACCTATCACAACAGTTTTGTGCAGTTAGCAGAGAAACAGAGAACTAGCACAGGAGGCATATTTGCTTGGTTAGAAAATATTTTTTGCACCGGGGAGTTCACCTTAAAATATTGATTTCGTGGCAGGCGCAGGTGTCGGAGATGAAGTGCAGATTTCGTGGCGCGGGGGAGCAGCACACCAGATCCAAAGGTGAACAGCTCGTGCTTGCTTGCTTGCTTGCTTCCTTGTTTGGTTTCTTCTCTGCAAAGCAAACAAATGGAAAAGCAAAAGCAAAAAGAGAAAAGATAACAGCTGCCAAAGAGAAAGAAAGAAAGAAAGAAATACAGAAATAAAGAAAGACAGAAAGAACAACATAAAGATAGATAGATGGATAGACAAACAAATAGAAAGATAGATATCGTGATATAGACAAATAGATATAGACAGATAGATGGATAGGTAGACAGATTTGGGAGCTGTCGTAGCTGGCAAACAGCCAGGCATATTTAAACCATATCAGTATCAGTGAATGAAGACACGAAAAGCCAACAGAAGCCAGCCGAAGCCACGAAAAGGCAAAAAAGCCACGGAAAGCCAAAGTCCTCAAAAGCCACCAAAAGCGAAAAGCCACCAAAAGCCAAAAGCCACCAAAGGAATCGTCTGGATGAAAACAAGACGGTCTTACATCTGGCAGCTGTGCCTCGGACTTCACATTCCTCCAAAGATGGACTAGTAGCAAACAGCCACAAGCAACGAAAGCCAAACGCCACAAAAGCGACAGAAGCCACGGAAGCCAAGAAAGCCAAAAGCCACAGAAGCCACGAAAGCCACCAAAGC